TGGCGGTTCTCACGACCCAACTGGGGTAGAATCTGCTTCCAAGTTGGCCCATGAGGTTATTGGCAAGATTCAGTTCCTCCTGGGCTGTTGATATGAGAGCCTTCTTCAATTACTTGTCATGTGACCCTTTCTATGAGGCAGCTCGTGGCAGGGCAGCTGGCTTCATGAGAGAGAGAGAGAAGCAAGAGACAGTTCACTGTCTTTTTTTTTTTTTTGAGATAGGGTCCCATGCTTTTTGGGGGACACATCCAAACCATAGCCCAACTCAAATCCTGAAGCTGCTGACAAAGCCAGCAGGGGAAGGTCAGCAGTGCCTTTACTAGAACTTATTCTGGACCACCTTGTGTGATATTGTGATTTATAATAAGAAATGTATATTTAGACTTCATCCCTGTTCCTGGCACAGGGCTCCTAAAACCCCGGGAATTATCTAAGTGATAAGAATAAAAGGGGCGTCTTTTGCCATTCATAAGGAGCCTTTTCAACCACACCTGAATTTATGTTTTTTTGTTTTTTGGTTTTTTTTTTTTGAGACAGAGTCTCACTTTGTTGCCCAGGCTAGAGTGAGTGCCGTGGCGTCAGCCTAGCTCACAGCAACCTCAAACTCCTGGGCTCAAGCAATCCTGCTGCCTCAGCTTCCCAAGTAGCTGGGAATACAGGCATGTGCCACCATGCCCGGCTAATTTTTTCTGTATATATTAGTTGGCCAATTAATTTCTTTCTATTTATAGTAGAGACGGGGTCTCGCTCTTGCTCAGGCTGGTTTTGAACTTGTGACCTCAAGCAATCTGCCCACCTCAGCCTCCCAGAGTGCTAGGATTACAGGCTTGAGCCACCTCTCCGGGGCCCTGAATTTATGTTAATTAGGTGACTTTTGGAAGTCCCCTAAGGATAGGGAACTGGCTGCCAGGGAGCCAACCACGTGATTAGAGATTTGGAACTTTGAGCCCCATAGTCCCCCCACCTCTCAGGAGGGAGGAGGAGGAGCTGGAGATTGACTTAATCACCAATGGCCAACGATTTACTCAGTCATGCCTACATAATGAAGCCTCTATAAATGCCCCAAAGGACTGGGTTCAGAGAGCCTCCAGGTTGCTCTGGAAGCTTCCGGGTTGGTGAACGTGGAGAGGTGCTGAGAGGATGGCACACCTGGCAAGGGCATGAAAGTCCCACTCCCCTTCCCACACACCTTACCTACCCTATGTACCTCTTCTATCTGGCTGTTCCTGAGTTGTATCCTTTTATGACAACCTGGCAATCTAGTAAGTGAACTGTATGAACTAAAATAAAATTTTAAGCCCCTAGTTGGCTGAAGGGACCCCCTTCTTGGCCAAAGGGGACCCCAGAAAAACCTTAAAACTGACTCCCTGGCCATGGAGGGAAGGTGTTACCATGCAGTTGTCACTGCAGCCACATCAGAAGACCAAGGACAAGTGGTTTGAGAAGAAGGAAAAGGAAAGAGAAGTTTATTAATTTGCCAGCAAATAATGGCAAATAAAGCAGCAAATAAAGCAAGGATGGCAGACTCTTGTCTTAAAGTACCAATGTCCTATCTATAAGGAGAAATACGGAGCTTTTAAGGGGACTTTTCAGCTTTGGGCTATTGTTTTTTAACTATAGCATCTCCAGTGAAGACAATCTCATGACCTCTGCCCCAACATGTTGAGCCATCTCTCTTTTTTTTTTTTCAGCATATTATGGGAGTACAAATGTTAAGGTTACGTATATTGCCCATGCCCCCCACCTCGAGTCAGAGCTTCAAGCATGACCATCCCCCAGACAGTGCACATCTCACTCATTATGTATGTATATACCCATCCCCTCCTCCCCCCTCCCACAAGCCCAATGAGCCATCTCTTATGATACAAAAAAAAGCAAAAAACACTCTCTCCGCCTCTGATCACTGGCCTCGGACAAGAATACAGGGGTTTTTCTTGTTGCTTTTTTTTAAGACAGAGTCTCACTCTGCTGCCTGGGCTAGAGTGAGTGCCGTTGCGTCAGCCTAGCTCACAGCAACCTCCAACTCCTGGGCTCAAGCGATCCTGCTGCCTCAGCCTCCCGAGTAGCTGGGACTACAGGCATGTGTCACCATGCCTGGCTAATTTTTTCTATATATTTTTAGTTGGCCAATTAATTTCTTTCTATTTTTAGTAGAGACGGGGTCTGGCTTTTGCTCAGGCTGGTAAGAATACAGGTTTTAATTCCCAAAACGTGTGATTGGGTTTTAAAGAGGCAGCTTCTAACACATTTTACCCTTTTTCAGGCCGCTACCTCTGTTACAAAGGAAGGTCAGCACACCTCAGACACTAAATTATTAACCTAAGGTCATGCAGGGTAAGAGTTAAGTCACCTGCAAAGGGGAAAAAAAAATGGGCAGAAAAAAGAAAAAAATTAAAATAAAGTTTTTAAAAACAATCACCAACAGGCCATCAATGTGCTTAAGAGATCGCTCGAACCAGTCTACTGTGGCTTGTCTCTAATTAACAGGCTTCTTTCCTAGTAAAGAGTATGAACATTTTAAAGGATGGCAGCATTTTAATACTCATTTTACACTACCTCCTATTATGCAGTTATCTCGAGAGATGTTTCAAAATTCTCGAGGGAAAATTTATAGAAATTAGTATATTTCAAGACCATAGGCCCTAGAGTAAATGGCATAAAAAGAGAATTTTTAGCTGGGCACCCAGCCTTAAAGAAAAAAAAATACTACATTTCCCAGCCTGCCTTGCAGTTAACTGTAGTCATGTGACTAAATTCTGGACAGTGGGATACAAACAGTTCTGGCAGCGCCTGGAAACCTTCCCCAGTGTGTGCTTTTTGCGCCCCTTCCCCCACAGACTTCTTTTATTTTGGGGGTTACAATGTGGATGCAAGCATTTGGGATCATGAGCATGAGGACTGTATCGTAGGCATGGTGAAGAGATATGCTGGAAGGAGCCAGGTCCTTCTAGAATTATAAGGACTGAACCCATCATTCCACCTTTGTACCACTTTCTTCTCTTTATATGGGAGAGAAATAAATGTCTATCCTAAGCTACAATTGGTTTGGGTTTTCTACCAGTTACAGCCAAGCCTAATTCTGATTTTCTAGTTGTGAGGCTTTAGAAACTGGGGAAGGCGCTGTTACGCTCTTCTTCATAAGGCCAGAGAAGTTGAGAATTACTGCCATGGGTAAACGCATTTCACAGGTACTTTGACATCTGGTCATGGGGGTTGACATCTTATGCCTTTTTGATCCTAACAAAAAAGAATCAGCAGGAAATTCCAAGTAAAACTATAGGATTCATGACATTCAACTTCCTGTCTAGTTGCTTCAAGTAGAAAAGAAAAAAGGGAAATTGGGAGGAGGTAAACGTCCCCCAGTTTATCTTGTTTCCAAGGTTATTGCCCCTACTCCAAGAGCTATTAAAAGGCTCTCTTGAGACAACTGCAACCAAAAATAAAGTGGCAAAAAAAATAAAAATAAATAAAAATAAAAAAAAATAAAAAAAAAATGCTAGATGATTGCAGTCACTAAAAAAAAAAAAAAATAAAAATAAAGTGGCATTGGCATCTCTCTGGGAACACACTTAACTCTGCTCCTAGAAGCATAACCTGTTATAATTTGCTAAAGCCCAAGTCAAGGCCTGTTTTCATCTAGACCAGGAAAAAGATACTGCTGAGAAAAAAAAGAAAAAAAAATTTTTTTGAGACATAATCTCGCTCTGTTGCCTGGGCTAGAGTGTAGTGGCATCATCATGGCTCACTGCAACCTCAAACTCCTGGGCTCAAGTGATCCTCCTGCCTCAGCCTCCCCAGTAGCTGGGACTACAGGCACATGCTACCATACCCAGCTAATTTTTTTTCTATTTTTGGTAGAAACTGAGTCTCCATATGTTGCTCAGGCTAGTCTCAAACTCCTGGCCTTAAGTGATCCTCTTACCATGGCCTCCCAAAGTGCTAGGATTACAGGTGTGAGACACTGCACCCGGCCTAAGAAAATATGTTTAAATAAATATGACAATCTAAAAAAGTAAAACAAAAACAAAAACACCAGGCCAAGTGTGGTTACGCAGGCCTGTCATCCCAGCTACTCAGGAGACTGAGGTGGGAAGATTGCTTGAACCCAGGAGTGCAAGTGAGCTATGCTCACACCACTGCACTCCAGGCTGGGCGACAGAGTGAGACCTTGTCTCTAATGAATAAATAAATTTTTAGAAAACCCAAATCAAAAGAAAATTGTCTTTGAATATACTTCGTTGCGTTAAATCAACATCTTGGCTACAGATGAAAATAAAAATGCTGTAGGACTCAGATTTATAATACATTAGGATCAAAGAATCAGGTTTTTTTGTTTTTTAAAAACTGTGGTCACTTCTGGGGGCAGTGAAAAGGGTGCAATATTTTGTTGTGATGTTTAGGAGCAGTCCTGACTTTTGATCTTTCCTGCCTTTAGAATTTGTCAACAGTAAAAATCAGGGCCAGTCTCAAAAGCAAGAGCTGCCCCCCACTGGCCCTCTACCGAATTAAACAGCATCGTCTGTGACATGGTTTGGTCTGGTGTCCTCTGGTCTATCTGGCTCACTCTGGACAGATTGCTCCTCTCAATGTCCCCTCTTCCAAACTACATCTGATGTAGTTTGCCCCTGCTCCAAGAGCTATTAAAAGGCCCTCCTTCCTAGCACTCTGGAAGGCCGAGGCAGGCGGATTGCTCAAGGTCAGGAGTTCAAAACCAGCCTGAGCAAGATCGAAACCCTGTCTCTACTATAAATAGAAAGAAATTAATTGGCCAACCGATATATATAGAAAAAATTAGCTGGACATGGTGGCTCATGCCTGTAGTCCCAGCTACTCGGGAGGCTGAGGCAGCAGGATTGCTTGAGCCTAGGAGATTGAGGTTGCTGTGAGCTAGGCTGACGCCAGGGCACTCACTCTAGCCTGAGCAACAAAGCGAGACTCTGTCTCCAAAAAAAAGGGCCCTCTTGAGAGATCAGAGATCAGTTTCTATAAGATTTCCTTTTTCTTCCTGACTGACTCTGGACTGAAGCTTCAGGTGCTCATATGGTTACCTGTCCACCAAGCTGAAGGGGGCCATCCAGTTTGTGATTCAGTATGACAAGATGTTAACCCAAGCCGGCTCTCCTGCCAGCCTGCACACCTTCAGTCTACTCCAAACAGTCAACTGCTATGCACTTGGGGAAAACAAACAAAGTTGATTGTTGTCTTTGGCAAAGCCTAAGAAAGGCAGCAACTATGTTGCAAAATAAAGCATACAGTGTATCCCAAAGCCAATGTGATTAAAAAGAAAAAAGTAACCATCGTTGACTATTCTGTTACTATAATAATAAACCCTCCAGCTGGTCAAATTATCCACTTACATATGGACATCAGGATGTTTCCAATGTTATTTCTTTTTGAGAACAGACATTTCACCTCCAGGGTAACAGCGTTTGTTGCAGAACTTGGCAAGGAAATCTATACTCTCTTGGGGGAAAAGTCCTGTATTTAACTTTAACCAGTGATGGGTGTTTCTAAAATGAGTTTAACCCCGTGTCCTAGTGTGTTCTGCAGGATAACTGCTCGTTGGTACCCTGTGCTTTTTCTCTAAAAGCCACCTGGCTGCTGCCACAGCTCCCAGAAGGCTGCCTTTGCTCCTGGCTCGCTTTCCCTTTAAGCATTTTGAGTGTTTCGGCTGGTGAAGTTCCAAGTGCCCTCTGGACTAATTGGCACAATGTGAGAATTTTCCCATTTAGAAGAGAAGGAGCCTGTTCTCCCAGGAAGGCTCTTCAAGATAATTGCTCACTACCTTTGGCAACCTTCAGAAACAACTACAACAAAAATCCCTCTTGCTGTTAGGAGGAGCTAGAAACCCACTGAAGGGAAAATGGGTGTTCAGGACTGGACTGGCCGAGACCTTTGAAACCAGTGACCTTTGGAAACAGGAAGTGGGGGAGGGCCAGTGGCGGCAAAGGCAGCCGAACTTTCCCTCCTGAGATAAGCACAGCAGCTCCAGCCCTAACGTCTGTAACAGACGTTTTCATTATCTTCCTTTTCCTAAAGAGCTTCAGCAAAGGGACATTGGCCCAGGAAGGCCCTTGCAGGGAGAGAACAGCACTTACTTGGAAGAAATATTTTACCAAAACACCTGGCTGGGAGGGGGGCACCCAAGAGTGTGCTGGCTAAGAAAAGATGGGTGGTTCCCCAGAGCAGGGCTCCCAGAGGAGGTGGTGTGTCCAGGGGCACAGTGAGAAAAAAAAATGAAGAAGAACAAGACATGGAGAAGAGAAGAGTCCCTTTTGGGTCACCACCTCCACTTTGGTGGGGCATGTGTAGAGAGAAAAGCCAGAAGGGACGGGAGGGGGGGCCTGCTGGCGTTCACTCTTGCTGAGTGTGAGTGTTTTTGGTTATCACTGTTCTTTTTCAGGACACTGAGGAAGTGCTGAGTCCTGTGGACTATTGATGTTGGGTGGAAAATAAGAGGGAACAGGACTGGACACTGAAGGTAGCAAAGCCCCCCGGCAGGATTGTGGCACTCTTGTTCCCCTGCGTGTTCACATCACCACCCAGGTAAATGGCAGAAAGGAGAAGACAGGCACAGCGGGGTTTGGGTGGGAAGGAGGCTCAGAGGCAGGTGGGGGGTGGGGGGGAGGTTGCCAGGCTGGGTGTGAATTCAGCACCACCCTGACTCCAAAGCTCACTCACGCCTTAGTTATCTGGACAGGTGTGGCCCTCCTCCTTCCCAGGAAGGGGCTCTAGAACTGCTGGGATTAGAGCCTGAGAGCGGCCGGCTCCTGTTTCTGCTAGGAGCACAGGATGGGGCATAAACGTGTGCATTTTAGAGACTCTCTGGTTTGATCCCGGCTCTGCCATCTACGAGGTGTGACCTTGGACACATTACTCAGATTCTTAATTCCTTTATCTCATCTGCAAAAGCAAGGCCATGCTAGCACCTTCTTTATAGGGTTGTTGGGGGGAGCAAATGAAGTCGTATACATGAGAGTCTTGGCATTGTGTTAGTTATTGTTATTTGCTAACAGCAATGCAGAATCGTGCCATGGGTGGCCCCAGTGTTCAGCAATGCTCCCGCTGTCCCTCTATCCATCTTTCTGATCCACAGAACGACTTCAGGTTTCAGAGCTAAATAGACCTGGTTCCAATCCCAGCTCTGCCCCTGCCTGCCTGTGTCGCTGTGGGAGAATCGCTCAGCCTGTCTGTGAGAGAGGTGAAGGACTCCTGGGCAGTGGGACTGTTGGGAGGTGAAGTGACATGGAAAGTGGCTGGCCATGTCCTGTCCATCTGGCTTCTCCATGTGACGATCCGGTGGCTGCCCGAGTCTCCTAGGAACCCCAGGCTCTTCCTACACTTGGCTGAGTTCGTCTGGATTAAATGAACACGGTGGGAGTCGCTCCCTCTGTGTTCTCTGGGAAACCACTCGGCCTCCCCTTGGCATCTTGCTGCGCAGGTTGGCTGAACCCTGACAGGAGCCACGCTTTGCCGGGTCAGCAATGGGTTGTTTTGAGACCTGCTGGGAAACCTAAAGTAGCCAAGATGGAGTCAAACTCACTGACTCTGAACCACACGTTTCTCCGTTTCCTCCGGTGTTGGGCTGGTCTCCATTTTAGCAGCTCCTCCCCAACCTCCCCCTCTTCCCAAAGGCTTTTGTCGCTGAAGGCCACCATTCGTCCTGTTTACTCCTCCCAGGATGCCAAGCCCCACCATAGACCTCCAGGAGGCCCAGTCACCATCACACTCCCCTCTCATCCGCAAGACAGACGTGAGCAGCTGTGGCCAGGAGGAGATGCGACGAAAGTGCAGATGAGATTCACGCAAACTCCACTGCCACAGGAGAGTCTAAGGAGGAGGGAGGACAACAGGCTCACTGCTGCAGTGACAGTAATAACAGCTGTCCTTACAGAGTGCTTGCTGAATGCCAGGCACTGCGCTTGATTCACAGATCTTAATTCACTTAATCATCTACCTGTGATCTGAGATTGTTATTCTACCCATTTTTCGGATGGGGAACTTGAGGCAAAGCAAGTTTAAATAATTTTCCCAAGATGACACAGTTAAAAAATAGCATTTATGAGATTTGAACTCATATAGATTGTAAGTAGGGCCCACACTCTTAACCATGATTTTTCTTTTTTTCTTTTTTTTTCAGATAGGATCTCACTCTGTTACCCAGGCTAGAGTGCAGTGGCATGATCATAGCTCCCTGCAGCTTCGAATTCCCAGGCTCAACATATCCTCCTGCCTCAGCCTCGAGAGTGGCTGGGAGTATGGGCACCTGCCACCACACATGGCTAATTTTTACATTTTTTGTAGAGATGGGGTCTCACTGTGTTGCCCAGGCTGGTCTAAAACTCCTGGCCTCAATCAATTCTCCTGCCTCAGCCTCCCAAAGTGCAGCCACCTCTTAACCATGATATTATAAGCACAAAATGGAACCACATATATGAAATTACCTTAAAAACTCTAAAGTGCTCTAAAAATATAGAGCACATGTTCTATTGACAGTGAATAGTGGCATTATACTTTTTTAAATCACTGTAATTTTTTAGAGCCATTTTACCCATTGCCTCTGAAAAAAATCTCTCCCCTTGGATGTCTCAGAGGCACCACAAACTCAATATTTCTAAAAATAAAAGTTTAACTATTTTTTTCCTACCATGCTCTCCAATCTGCGTCTTTTCTTTTGACCTACATTGTAGCAAATGGCTCTGCTCAGGCGTCCAAGTCACAAACCTGGGGATCTCCTCGGATGTCCCCTCCCCTCACCCCTGCATTCGATCAATCACCAAGTCCTATTGATTTTACCCCGTTAGTCTCTGAGTTTGTCTGCCCCTTCTGGGGACTCCTGGCTTGGTTGCATGTGCCCCCAGATCTCCCCTGGACCCCCCCACATGCTCAGAGCCCATGGCTCTGCCTCCAGCCTGCCCTCCCAGCCGTGCTCCACCCTGAAGCTACCAGGATCTTTCTGAACTGAATCCATTCACGTTGCTCTCCTTACAACCCATATGAAGCTCCCTAGCACTTTCAGGGCTCACGTCTAAACCCCTTCCTGTGGCTGACAAAGGTCTTTATGACCTGGACCTGCCCCCTCCGGGGAAGAAGTCTGACTTCTCCCTTAGGCTCAGCAGGTGCAGTGCTTAGGGACCATAATACTTTTAGGGACCCATGAACGTGTTTTCATTTCTTTAAAATCAGAAAGAAAAAAAAACCAGACTTTTAAATCAAAGAAAGTGTTTTAATACACAATAGCAAAATATATGCCCACCCCAACATAGCCATAAACACTAAATTTTAACACATTTTTTTAATGGAGGGAGGGGCCCACATAAGTGAAAGTGAGTCAGTCCCTCAAAAGCCATAATGTGACCCTGTTATTTGGAATACATTTCTGCCATCCGCCCTCCCTGGCTGACGCTTCCTCATCAGTCCAAGTCTTAGTTCATAAGTCTCTCTCCAGGAAGTCTTTTCCAACCCCACAGTTGGATGGATACGGTTCCGACTGCCGCCCGGGCACCCGCCTTGTCTGGGCCGCAGCGCGTGTGGCCGGGCGCGGAGCTTGTCCGTGTCACAGGCTGTGTCCGGTTCGTCCGCGCGGCCCCAGCATCTGGCTCACAGTAAGCACTCAGCCAGTGGCTACTGAACCAATACACTGCCAGCAGAGGCTTAAATTTGACAGCAGCTTCAGGAGGGCCACCGGGCATGTGTGTGTGTTGCACCCCTCGAAATGTACGCATTCTTTGCGACTTCCCCCCTGTGAGAGGCCTCAGAGCGGAGGAGAGGCGGGCAGCCTGGGTCGGAATGCCATCTCCGCCAATTACAGCTGCAGGACCTGGGGCCAATTACTGGCTTGATGTCCTAGCGCCTCAGCCTCCTCACCTGTAATGTAGGGGTAATAACAGCCCCTAACCCCTGAGGATACTGGGAAAATTAAACGAGTTAATATTTGCAAAGCACTTGCAACAATGCCTAACGCAGAGTAAGTGCTTGTAAAATGAATGAGAGTTTACCTTAAGGGAATACTGAAGGTGCAGCAGATGCTTTAGTTTTGAGGCAGAACATGGCTCCAAATGTCACAGTGCGTATTTCTGATGCAGTCCTCTCCGCCTCTTGCTCATTCACCGCACGCTAAGGTTCGGTTTGCTTTCCTCCCTCCTTAGCACTCTGTAAAAGCAGTTGCTGGACTGAGAGACAGGAAGGGTCTAGACCTCTCCCTGCACCTCCAAGGTGGGGGAAGACGTGGGCTAGGAGGTGGGAGGGACAACACAGGCAAAGGAGGAGGACCCTGAGCCTTCGGGTTCTCCAGAGAGGGGCACCTTCCACTGGAGGATGGAGCAGGCAGTCACGGTACCCAGCCCCCCGTTGTGGGGCCACAAACACGTGTCAGCCGCCCTGAGTGAGACTCAGCCTGAGGGGAGCTCTCCCCGCCACACACAAGGGGGGCCAGGACACCATCACTTGGGAATTTCTCTCTCAGCCATAACAGCTCTGGACATACCACCACCACTATAATTACAAGGATGTTTGTTAAAGTGTTACCTATTATAGCAAACAACTGAAAAGAAGTTAAGGTCTAATAAAATGGGATCAGTTAAACAAATAGTGGTATTTTCTTACAACAATAGCATATTAAGCCGGCATTTAAGATGATGTTAGAGAAGAGTACATAGGTCATCTAGGTGAGAACAGAGCACAAAATAATATATAGTACATGTCATTAAAGTGTTTCATATATACATATAAATATATGTATATATTTATTATTATTTTATTTTATTTTATTTTGAGACAGAGTCTCACTGTATTGCCCAGGCTAGAGTGAGTGCCGTGGTGTCAGCCTAGCTCACAGCAACCTCAAACTCCTGGGCTCAAGCGATCCTACTGCCTCAGCCTCCCGAGTAGCTGGGACTACAGGCATGTGCCACCATGCCCGGCTAATTTTTTCTATATATATTAGTTGGCCAATTAATTTCTTTCTATATTTATAGTAGAGACGGGGTCTTGCTCTTGCTCAGGCTGGTCTCGAACTCCTAATCTCAAGCAATCCACCTGCCTCGGCCTCCCAGAGTGCTAGGATTACAGACGTGAGCCACCGCTCCGGGCCTATATGTATATATTTATATATGAACACATGTATGTATATATATTTATACATATATTTTTTGTATGTATAAAACATATCCTCTGAACCTTTTGAGTTTGCTGGATTGCAGGAAGAAGGGAGAGAAGAATATAATTTTTACTGTTTCCCCCCATTGGTGGGTTAAAAAATTTTTTGCTTCAGCATTTAGTCTGGAGAATTTAAAGAAAAACTAATTTTAAGCTCTTATTTTCAATTGTAGCTGAGTAAATTTTTTGTGTGTATTTGTCTTTTGTGTTCAGTAAAGGGTGAACTTGGCAGGTCTTTGGTGTTTAAACTTTGCACACTTCAAAGAGAAGTCTGGCCCTTGGTAGGTGCCATTCCAGAGATAATCTCTAAGCCCTGCAATGCACTGCCCAATAAGAGCGTCTTTGTGTATCTGGGGCCTTGGGGAGAATTGACGCCAATAGTGTGATTTATGGTGGGGCCCCCGGGCCAGGCTGAATCAGTTTGGGCTGCAGAGGAGCTGGACATTGAGTGACCAGCCCTCACACAGGAAAGACTCAGATGAGCCTTCCTGGTTGGCCATACTCCTTACGTACTGTCACCCCCCATTGCTGGGAGAATTAAGCACTGTCTGTACTAGACACGTGGCTCTGGTCTCTTCTGGACTATGCCCCACGTGCCTTTGGCCTTTGCTGATTGTAATCTGTATTTGTTCACTGCAGTGAACTGAACTGAGTGTAACTGATTTTCTGAGTTCTCAGCCCTTCTAGTGAATCTTTGAACTAGAGGGTGGTCAGATTGTGGAGAGGGGTGGTGGGGGGCAGCTTGTATAGAGCCTCAGGTGTCTTGATAAGGAGTTCGGCCTTTATTCTAAATGCCTGGGGTAATTGTGGAAGTTCATGCTCATTTGCATTTTAAAAAGAGCTCTCTGGTGTCCAGGTACTGTGGCTCTTGCCTGTAACCCTAGCAATCTGGGAGGTAGAGGTGGGAGGATGGCCTGAGCTCAGGAGTTCAAGACCAGTCTGAGCAAGAGTGAGACTCTGTCTCTACTAAAAATAGAAAAAATTAGCCAGGCATGGTGGTGTGTGCCTGTAGTCCCAGCTACTCACTCAGGAGGCTGAGGCTGGAGAATCACAGGAGCAGGAGGTTGCTGTGAGCTGGGCTGACCATGGGACTCTAGCCTGGGTGACAGAGCAAGACTGTCTCAAAAACAAACAAACAAAAAAACCTCACAACAACAACAACTCTCTGGTGACAGTGTGGAGAATGGACTACCGGAGGACAAGTTAGGGGCCTCTTGAAAGAGGAGAAGCTGGGGTAGTACCAGTGGAGAAGGAAAAGTGTGGGTGGATTTAGGGAAGTTTGAAGGAAGAACAAATAGATAAGACACGATGTTGGATTGGAGCTGGGGAATGAGAGGGCTGTGACACAGATGGCTTCCCATTTTCTGGTTTGAAATTATCTATCAGGGTGAGGCAGATTATGGGAGGAACAGGTTTGGACCTGTTAAATTTCAGATGTCTGAGTTTATTAAAAAGGTGACATTCAGAGGTGGTTCAGCCCTCTGATGTGATGAAGTCCAATGCAAACAAGAGAAGCAATTCCCCAAATTGCTTTGGCATTACTCCAGCCATACTTAGTTTTAACAGCTTTATAGAATTTTAGTTCCTTATGTACAGAGCTGTTAAGGACCTAAAAGAGTCATGTATAATTTTGAGTTGTACTTTATTTCATTTTATAGGTGACAATACGTGCTATGGTAGTATTTAGCAGTTTGGGGTTTCATAAAGTTCATGATTATAACCCTTATAAATGTCAAAGGTCTATTTTAGCTATAACAGGCAATGCATTGAACGAATTTCCAATAAGGTAGAGGAACTCATTAGCATGTAGTCTGTCGAGAGACAGTAGTTATCCTTCATCTGGTACTTACTAGGTGCTGGGCATTCTGTTATACACTATAAGTATCCCATTTCAGCTCCCATATTATTTGTCACCCATCTTACAGGTGAGAAAAAAAAGGCTCAGAAAAGTTAAGTAGCTTGCCCAGGTCACAGATCAAACAAGAGTCTGCATTTGAACCCAGGTCTGGGCTGCCTAGAAAGCTTAAGCTTCTATGAAGTAGCTGTTGTCTTGGGTTACAGAATGGATTCTTTCTAGGAAGCCGAGGCTGAGATGGGGTTGGAAAGGAGAAAGGCTTACTGGGGAACGACACCCACAGAAGGAGAGGACCCCAGTGCAGACCTGTCAAAGTCTCTGCCGGCCCAGCAGGGAGCCCTGGGTCCAGTGTTGGGCAGGGATGGTGAGGCCCTCCTACCACCACCTTGCTTAGCCATTGGCTAGGGAGAAAGCCCGAGAAAACTAGGATCTCAGCTCAAAAGCTGAGCTGGACCCTGAAGGCTGTCAGTTAACTGAACTCCTTGCAGCTGGGCAGTGAGTCCATCCTTAAACGGAGATCTGAACAGTGCATCTCCATGTCTGCCACATGCTCAAAAATTGCCAGTGCTCTTCACCCAAGAAAAGGCAATGTATTAGTTAGCTATTGCTGTGTAACAAATTGCTCACAAAATGTAGCAGCTTAAAACAACCAACGTCTGTTGACTCACAGTTTCTGTGGGTCACCTGGCCTAGCTGCGTGCCTCTGGCTGAAGGTCTTGCATGAGGTTGCAGTCAAGCTGTCACCTGGGGCAACAGTCTCATCTGAAGGCTCAACTGGATAGAGAATCCATGTTCAAGGTCACACATGGTTGTTGGCAGGCCTTGACCCCTCATCCCATGAGCCTCTCCATGGGGCTCTCTCACGGCATGGTGTCTGGCTTCCTCCAGAGTGAGCAGTCCAAGTGACAATGAGAAAGAGGACCCAAGATGGAAGCCACGGTTTTTTATAATCTTGGAAGTGACATTTCATCCCTTTTGCTGCACTGTCTTTCTTAGAAGTGAGTCAGTATATCCAGTGTACATTCAAGGGATGTACAAATACAAGAATACCAGGAGGTGGGAATCGTTGGTGGCCATCTTAGTCTGCCTGCTGTATTTAATAGCACTGGTGGCAACAATGATAATTCCCATGTATTGGACAGTTGCTATGAGTCGGGTGTGGCTTTATGTCCTCACGTGCTATCTCATCATGACTCCTTTATTCACTCAAGATTCAGGAGGCACCAGGCACTGTGAGCTGTTGAGGACAGAATGACAGATACGGAACACTTCCTACTGTTGAGGTGCCCATGTCCAAAGATATAATTTGTTCCAATCTTACAAAGGAGGAGGAGATGCCACACAGGTAGCAAGTGGCTGAGCTAGGAGGCCTAAGCTGGGGGTCAGTGTGACTTTGAGGCCAGTAATTTTTGTGAAGACAGCAGACTCCAGAACCCACCATTTCTGAAAACATCACTGGGCACCAAAGGTGCATTTTTCACTCCTTGTCTGAGAACAATTGTGAGGAAAAAGCAAGTCACAAAGAATACATACCATTCCATTTATATGAAGTTCAAAAGTGGGTGCTTGTTTATCGAGGCACACATAGCAGGATCACTGAAGAAGAATGCAGGGAGAAAATGATTCCACAGGTTAGGACAGTGGCCACCTGGGGGCAGGTGGGGGGAGGGGGTGTAATGAGGGCGCACGGGAGCTCCTGGGGGCTGAGTACTATTCTAGACCTAGTGGTAGTTGTACAGGTGTTAACTTATAATGACAAGGCCAGGTGCAGTGGCTCACACCTGTAATCCTAGCACTCTGGGAGGCCGAGGCAGGTGGATCGTTTGAGCTCAGGAGTTCAAGACCAGCCTGAGCAAGAAGGAGACCCTGTCTCTACTAAAAATAGAAAAAAATTAACCAAACAACTGAAAACAGAAAGAATTAGCCAGGCATGGTGGTGCATGCCTGTAGTCCCAGCTACTTGGGAGGCTGAGGCAGGAGGACCACTTGAGCCCAGGAGTCTGAGGTTGCTGTGAGCTAGGCTGACGCCATGGCACTCTAGCCCGGGCAACAGACTGAGACTTTGTCTCAAAAAAAAAAATTTATAATGACACATTAAACTGCACATATATATTTATTTTATTCACTCCTCTGCATGTATGTATGACACACCTCACAAACAAAATAGCAATAAGGACCATTGTGTTGAGTAGGAAGCCATTCGGCTGCACCCGTGGGGGCAGGGAAAGTCTTATTCAGAGACACAGTGGATACAAGGTCTTCATGCCTCCAGCAAACCTCCCCGCACAGATGAACTCAGTCTGGCTTTCCACCATGTCCTTAACATGTGTTACACCCAAAATAACTTCTGAGGAAGACAGCGTTTGGTGAGTTTATCTTGCCATTTGATACAACATGTCCCAGCAAGTTGGTGGAGTTTTTCCTATTCCTGCACAGGACTGCTGAAGAATGAAACCTAATTCCCATTGTAATAAAAGCCACTCAGGTCTTTATAAAGCAAAAGATTGTACAAAAGTGCCAGGGCATGCTTGCTCCCAGCTTGCCTCCAATTCATTAGGCTTTAATGGATTCCCTTTCAAAACCTGTCAAAACAGCAGACAGCAGAGAGGAATTTGACATTGAACTCTGTTTGAGACCATGAAGCCAGACCAGCTGGAAATACATGAGAGGGAGGCAGAAGCCAGTCCCTGTCCATGGTGGGGAGAAGGACCAGGAGGAGATTTCCAACAGCGTCCTAATTATTTGGGGGATGTTGAGCTGGTTTTTCCCAGTCCCAGTTTGGTCACGGTGGAGCTTTGCTTTCTGAACTACCAGCCCTGTAGATGACAATGTTCTATCCCTGCACTTGGTGGGGTGGTTTCCTGGGCGTGAGTCAGGGTCACATGGAACCGAGTGTGTTTAGGGCCCAGCAAAGCACCCTTCTGTGATTTTCCAGGAAGATGGCAGCACGCACGTCAGGTATGGCACATGTTTCAATGGAGAGGCCCCTGCAATGATGTGAGAGTTTGAGGACAGGCACTTTTTTCTCACCATGAGTGTCACCCTAGAGGTCAAGAGTCATGGGATGAAGTTTGCTGAGGAGCAGCTACTAAAGCATGGATGGACTCAAGGCAAAGGCCTGGGCCGGAAGGAGAATGGCATCACCCAGGCCCTCAGGGTGACACTGAAGCAGGACGCTCATGGGGTGGGACACGACCCTGCCAAGGAGTTCACAAACCACGGGTGGAACGAGCTCTTCACCAAGACTGCAGCCAACTTGGTAGTGGAGACTGGACAGGATGGAGGACAGATAAGGCGCCTTTCTACGGAGACCACCTGTCGAAACGTAATCCTCCCAAGCCCAACTTGCTGTATCAGAAGTTTGCGAAGACGGCTACCCTGACTTCCAGATGGAGGGAAGCCAGACAAAGACATGGAGAGCTGCAGTGATGATGACAACCAGAGGCCCAACCCCCAAAGATTCTGACGGATGAGATGCTGCTCCAAGCCTGTGAGGGCGAACAGCACACAAGGCAGCCGTCTTGGGATTACGATGGAGGCCAGGCTTGCTCGGCTGGAGGCCCAGGAGCAGGCCTTCCTGGCTCATCTCAAAGGCCAGGCCTCTCAGGCCTCTCAACCACAGTCAGAGAGCAAGCCCCGCAAAAAGAACAAAAAGAAAAGGAAGCACAAAGAGTAGCCAAGAGGCTACAGCACCTGAAAGGAACGCAGATGAGAAGCAGCCAGAACACACTGACCAGAGCACCAGGAAAAGCAAGAAGAAGAAAAGGCAACATCAAGAACGAAAGGTCTCAGATAAGAGAGAGGGAACGACTGTAAGGAATGGGGAGGAAGAAGCTGCGGGAACAAGTGAGCTTAGGGAATTGAAGAGCAGAGAGCAAACAGATCAGTCCCCCAGGAAAAGGAAGAGAAAGAAGAGGCAGCACCATGAAGAGGAGAAGACGGGAGTCTTGGGTGACAGAGGAAGAGGTAAGGAGGCTACAGGTGCTGTCAGGACAGAGGAGGCAGAGAGCACAGTGTCCACTGACCCGGGCAGCAAAAGCAAGAAGAAACAGCACCATGAGAAGGATTTGAACCTAGAGGATGAAGAAGTTGAGGAAACCGTTTTAGACGGTGGGACTACGGACACAGAGAACAGAGCATGCAGTGATGGAGGAAGGAGAAGCAAGAAGAAAACACGGCGACATCGAGAGGAGGAGGAAGTCGTCGATGTAAGGGATGGAAGAGATGAGGAGGACGGCAGGACTCGGAAAGCAGGGAGCAGAGCACACACTGGCTCACGCAGCAGAGGTGAGAAGAGGAGGAAACGGCGGTCAGAGGAAGCAAGCTGGAGTTGGCACCGACCAGACAACCAAAAAGAAGAAACAGAGGAAGGGAGACTGACGGTCTGTCTGGTAAAGGTGGGGCTCACTTGATTCACCTTCAGGAGTCGAAGCCTCAAGGACTTGGGTTGATGCAAGGGCTCCTGTGCTCCCCTAAACATGGAGTCCCTCCTAAGGAGGAAACTGAGCTCTGGAACATCAGTCTGTGAGAGGAGAGTGTTGGCACCATGCCTTAGTTGATGGAGCGGGCACGGTCCCCTCTGCAGCTTCTAGAACCAGATGGCTAAGGGACAAGGAATGCTGGGGGTTGGGGGAACAGGAACACAGATACCCTTTGAAGGGGCATCTCTGTTAAAAGAAGCTGAAAATGTAGACTTATGTGAAATCTGAGTTTTAAATACTGTGAAGGAAAGAAAAATATTGTGAAGGCTAAGAAAAACAACAAAAGTAAGCCTATGGGCTAGAGTCAGTCCACAGATTGCCAGTTTCCAGCATGACCAAATGAGTGAATAAACATCAAGTTGGGCTCGTAGCCTACAGATAAAAAAAAAAAAAGCATCCTTCTGCTCTCAGTGGAGGTATGGTTGCTGGATAAAGTACTAAACCCGTGTTTCATTTGAGTTTAGGATAAATAACAATTTTTTTTCATAAGTATGCTGGCAAATATTGCATGGGACATACTTATACTAAAAAAGTATTCATTGCTTATCAATGAAAAAAAGTATTCATTGCTTATATTCAAATTCAGTTGAGCATTCAATATTTTTATTTGCTAAATCTGGCACCCCTGGGGTGGGGGTGGGACATACTCGGCACCCAGCAATGGGAGAGGCAGTGGGTGCTGGCAGGTACCTACTGGGCTCTGTAGAGCCAGCGATGGACACTGTTCACTTGACCTGCTCACGATCCTCACTTCTCTCCCTCTCCCCAGCCCCAACCCTAGATACAGGCTGCTACCTAGTACCCTGGCTACACACTAACTCTTCACTGATATTTGATAATATGGAGAAATTCTTGGTAATGATGTTGTATGATAATGGTATTAGGGTTATTTTTTTAAAGGAGTTTATGTCTCTTAGAGATGTATAGCAAAATATTTATGGATGAAATGATATAAGAGCTCACACTATAGAACTCTTAGAAGAAAACATATCAGCCCACACAACATAGGGAGACCCCCGTCTCTAAAAAAAAAAAATTAGCTGGGCCTGGTGGTGTCCACCTGTGGTTGCAGCTACTCAAGAGGCTGAGGCAGGAGGATTGCTTGAGCCCAGGAGTTTGAGGTTGCTGTGAGCTAGGCTGACACCATGGCACTCACTCTAGCCTGGGCAACAAAGTGAGACTCTGTCTCAAAATAAAATAAAATAACTAAAAACATTTGGAAAAAAGGAAAGAAAGAAATGAGATACTGCTAAATGTAAGAAGTCAGTCTGAAAATTATACCTATTATATGATTCTAACTATGCAACATTCTGGAAAAGGTAAAACTATAGAGACAGTAAAAAGATCAGTGGTTGCCAGGAATGGGAGTGGAAGGAGAAGGGATGAGTAGGTGGAACACAGGGGACTTTTAGGGGCAGTGACACTGTTCTGGCTGATGCTGTACATGACATTAGGCATTTGTCAAAACACATACAACTGTACAACACAAAGAATGAACTCCAATTTAAACTGTGGACCTTAGGGAATAATAACGCATCAATATTGATTCATCAGTTGTAACAAATGTAGCGACTAATGCAGGATATTAGTAATAGGAGTGACCATGTGCCTGGGGAGAGAGGTTATATGGGAACTTTCTGCTCAATGTTTCTGTAAACCTTAAACTGCTCTAAAAGATAAACTCTGTTAATTTTTTAAAAGATGAGGAGAAAAGAAGAAAGATCCATATTAGCCGCTTTTAGAATTTCTCCAAAAAGGAAAATAGCTTTAAAAAATATACTGAAATTAGATTTGGTTGAGATGACTGTGAATGACTGGAGGAAAATTATTACCATCTAGAAGGATTTTACATTCAGATTTCCTCTAAGTGACTCTAAGTTCTTATTTATTCACGTTATTGAAAAAAATGGAAATCCTAAAAGAATTTTAAAGACAAAAATACACAATTGTATTACTCTGCAACTGTGCCCTCCAATCTTTCCGTCTTAGCTCAGCACAGTGGCATTTTGGCATGTCATTGTCCTGAATTCTCCTCCTTCCTCTTCTGGTTCTGCAGGCGGGTGACTCAGTCACAAAGGGTGGGGTGTGCAGGGAGGTCCTCAGCAAATTTGATGA